CATGTGAGCGACACAGTTCATGTGTTCATAGCGTGTAAGTCGAATTGCGGCAACCATGTTGCGTGCACTGTCAGTCCCAATGGTTGTAGTCTTGCCCTCGATGTCCCACTCACGTGCAACAGACAGGAACTGTTCTTTACAAGCCTCCGCAAAATGACGCTCCTCAGTTTTTAATATAGTCAGCGCAAAAGACTTCAGTTCCCACGTGTCACTGATTAAATGTGCAGTTACTCCGAGGTAATTGTTGTTACTCACTGATGTCCAATGGTCTCCTGTCAGGGCGATATGATTTACTTGAGCCAAGACCTCTTTCCTTTTTTCTTTTTCGTTTTCATAGAGCTCGTGGATTTTCTTCATAACTGTGGCTCTTGACGGTGGCTTATAGAATGAGTCTTGAGACGCCACTTGCAAAACATCAAGGAAACCTGAGTCTTCTACAATGCTAATGGGTCTACAATCCTTTGCAATCCATTTTGCTATTGTGTTGGTCAAATTATCTGAGGTTGATTTTGTTAATTGCCTGCAAACATTCAGCGTGGTCTGGCGCAAACCACTTGCTGAATCTGACGGCCCAGCAAACGCATGTTTGGCGTTGACATGGTACTTCAAGCTTGAACAGCTCCGGTGAAATTGAAACTCCTTCTTACAAATCTTGCAAATAACCTTGTACTTGTTAACTGTACCATCATCATTCTTTTTATATTTGAATCCGTCAATAGGCCCACTTTGCTCACCTTGCTCCATCTCGCCTCTAGCTCCCAACCACTTTCCTGACCTGAATAATTTGTCACACTGCGCATGCGTGAAATGCGTTAAAAAAATTGACGTAATTAACAGCAAACAACTAATTAACGTCGTTAACGCGCTATTTTTGACAGCCCTAATATATATATATGCCTGTTTTGCATGTTATTTTGGCATTATGACGTGTCACATATCAGTTTGCAAATAATGTTTAAAAAAATTATAGAGTTATTTAATACAGCACATGCAAACATGGTCTCTTTTTTGCTTTCTTGAGTAAGGCAGCTCCAAAATGCAGGTGTTTCAACCTAGCTCAGTGCTTTCTGTGGTGGTGGGCCAGCTAGCGGAAAATTCAGATGGTAGGGGTTGGTAATGTTCTCTAGTTGTGCCGTGATTGGCTCAGTGTTCTGTCACGCATGGGGACACTATGTCATCACAAAATCTACTGGGAGAGCTCGAAAATTCAAGCTAATGTGGTCTACAGCTTATCACGGGGTACTCTACTTCAGGCGAGCAATACCTCGAGACTATATTAATATTAGACATCGCGCACCAGCTGTTATTGACAAATAGACACACACCTCCACCCTTCGTATTACCGGACGTAGCTGTTCTGTCCTGCCGATGCAAAGAAAACCCAGCCAACTGTAAATTATCTGTGTTGTCGTTCAGCCACGACTCGGTGAAACATACGATATTATCGTTTTTAATGTCCCGTTAGTAAGATCGTCTCGAATGGAGCTCATCCAGTTTATTCTCCAGTGATTGCGCGTTGGCTAATAGAATAGATGGTAGAGGCGGGTTACCCACTTGCCAACAAATTCTCACAAGGCAACCTAATCTCCGCCCCATGTACACTACCATTCAAAAGTTTGGGGTCACTTAGAAATGTCCTTGTTTTCCATGAAAACATTCATGAAATTAGTTTGAATAGGAAATATAGCAAAATGCATTAGGTTAGAAATAAAGATTTTTAATATAAATAATAATTGTGTCCTTCAAACTTAGCATTCGTAAAAGAATCCTACATTTGCAGCAATAACAGCCTTGCAGACCTTTGGCATTCTTGTTGTCAATTTGTTGAGGTAATCTGAAGAGATTTCACCCCATGCTTCCTGAAGCACCTCCCACAAGTTGGATTGGCTTGATGGGCACTTCTTACGTACCATATGGTCAAGCTGCTCCCACAACAGCTCAATAGGGTTGAGATCCGGTGACTGTGCTGGCCACTCCATTATAGACAGAATACCCGCTGACTGCTTCTTCCCTAAATAGTTCTTGCATGGTTTGGAGCTGTGCTTTGGGTCATTGTCCTGTTGTAGGAGGAAATTGGCTCCAATCAAGCGCCGTCCACAGGGTATGGCATGGCGTTGGGAAATGGAGTGATAGCCTTCCTTCTTCAAGATCCCTTTTACTCTGTACAAATCTCCCACTTTACCACCACCAAAGCACCCCCAGACCATCACAATGCCTCCACCATGCTTGACAGATGGCATCAAGCACTCCTCCAGCATCTTTTCATTTGATCTGCGTCTCACAAATGTTATTCTTTGTGATTTCAACACCTCAAACTTCGATTAGTCTGTCCGTAACACTTTTTTCCAATCTTCCTCTGTCCAGTGCCTGTGTTCTTTTGCCAATCTTAATATTTTGTTTTTATTGGCCAGTCTGAGATATGGCTTTTTCTTTGCAACTCTGCCTAGAAGGTCAGCATCCCGGAGTCGCCTCTTCACTGTTGACGTTGAGACTGGTGTTTTGCGGGTACTATTTAATGAAGCTGCCAGTTGAGGACACTCTAATGTATTTGTCCTCTTGCTCAGTTGTGCACCGGTGCCTCCCACTCCTCTTTCTATTCTGGTTAGAGCCAGTTTGCACTGTTCTGTGAAGGGAGTAGTACACAGCGTTGTACAAGATCTTCAATTTCTTGGCAATTTCTCGCATGGAATAGCCTTCATTTCTCAGAACAAGAATAGACTGATGAGTTTCAGAAGAAAGTTCTTTGTTTCTGGCCATTTTGATTCTGTAATCTAACCCACAATTGCTGATGCTCCAGATACTCAACTAGTCTCAAGAAGGCCAGTTGTATTGCTTCTTTAATCAGCACAACAGTTTTCAGCTGTGCTAACATAATTGCAAAAGGGTTTTCTAAAGATCAATTAGCCTTTTAAAATGATCAACTTGGATTAGCAAACACAACGTGCCATTGGAACACAGGACTGATGGTTGCTGATAATGGGCCTACAGCTACAATAGCCATTTACAACATTAACAATGTCTACACTGTATTTCTGTTCAATTTGATGTTATTTTAATGGACCAAAAAATTGATTTTCTTTCGAAAACAAGGACATTTCTAAGTGACCCCAAACTTTTGAACGGTAGTGTATTTCCATATTTTCTTCATGCGAATGACGGGGATTTAGGCATTCTCTGGGAGCAACGTTATATCCTTCGCGTCCGACTCATTAAAGAAAATATCTTCATCCAGTTCGAGGTGAGTAATCGCTGTTCTGATATCCAGAAACTCTTTTCGGCCATAGGGAGACGGTAGCAACAACATTGTGTACAAAATAAGATACAAACAATGTGAAACACCACACAAAATAGCAGAATTGGTTAGTAGCCCGTAAAACGGCAGGTTGGAAATCGCAAATTCAACAATGAGTGGTTTGGAAGGAATCAGTGGCTGACTGCAAGCTTTGCAAAGCAATCCCTAGCCTGCTATCCAGTGGAGAGGGTGTGTGGTCCAAGTCTGGGTTTAAGGGTCTCTTTTCCAAGTTTAAAAGGATAAACATTCACTCGCAACACACCATGGGCCAAAAAAGGTTGAATACATTGGCCATGCTGTTAATCCAGCATGACTTCTGCCGCGTTCAAAACCTCTGGAAACTCGAAACTGGAAATCTCAGACTTCAGTGAGTTCAAGACAACTGGGAACTCAGAAATAAACAAGTTTAGACTGGGAAAATAAGTTTCTAACAGTGATCTAACTCGGAATCCAAGTCGGGAACTCGGGCCTCTTTCTAGAGCTACGACCAGAAGATCACTAACGTCATGATTTAACCTTGTTTTTTAAAATGAGGCTGAATGAACTGTTTCGCTGCCAGACTAGGCTCCGCTGATAGCCAGGTGTAGCAGCGGTAAGGATTCACTCCATGGTGCTGAAAAGAAAGCTTTATGTAGGCCCTAACAGTTTGTGGGCACCGGTTGGCACTTTGCTGGCATGCATCTAAAAAAAATCTTTGAGTTTGCCCCACCAAGATTTACATGCTAAAATCGCAACTGCATAGCCGGCACTGCTATCATCCTCTTTTACCACTTCACCAAATATTTTCCAAACATTATCTTTCTGTCCCTCCCATCTCTTTATTTTCAAGTCTCCTTTCGCAGCTTTTGTCTTATTGAATTAAACTTTGAACATGTCCTTTTTGCCTTCTTGTATTGACGTTAACTTTTTCTGCCCGTTCCAAAAAGCATTATTTGGCGATTGGCTGTGTAGGCTATTTGGCACACGTACAGTTAAACCCTAAAGTTTAGGCTTATGCACTAATACCAGATAGCCTAAAATAATGAAAGAAAAACTTAAATGTAGCCTAATATAAATTGCACAATAATTAAACATTTATGGATTTTTTAAAGGTATTGTCTCTTTATTCAACCCGGCCGCAACACACCCGCCCTTAAAGCCACACAATATTTAGTGACCCTAAACCCGTCCGCCCCGCAATGCGTGAAGAGATTGAAAATACAAGTGACACAACCAACTGGCGCCTCAGTCGGGTAAACCTAAGTGTATGGATACCCTATCTCCACCTCCTACCGCCAAAAGGACCAACGGCATGTACAACCGGTAAAATACTATTGCGCCTTTTTTAGGGCGACTTCGGTCGGAATGATTATCCATGGATTAACCATGGTAACAGTCTGATGTTTAGACAATTCATGGATCAACATTGTATGCGTTTCTTGTAAACTAGAAAATGTGATATAACGTTAGGCTAGTCTCGTGTGGAAAGAAACCGAGAAACAATTTAAAATATGTATATTTTTAAGATTAATTTTTTTGTGTCACTGTCAACCCAATCTGTTATGATAAGCCTTGATTCACGTCATATCACCAGCCCCTGTGGCACTTAAATCACTTTACATTTAATTGCAATAACAAAGTTGAGGGACTTATGATACACACACACAGTGCCCTACTTAACCAAAAGTTCTTATGTGTTTCTTTGCCAGTGTTTCTATAGGACATCATCATGGCAGGCGAGACAGTATCCATGACGGAACCAGTATGTCTGATTGAGAACGACAGTGATGGGAAGCTGCGTGTGGTCCGCAGTGCACTGGACATCCTGGACCAGATTGACCAGCATGTGGTAGTGGTGGCGGTGGTCGGGCTGTACCGCACCGGCAAGTCCTACCTCATGAACAAGCTGGCTGGGGAGAGGAAAGGTGAGCACATCCACTAAAGCATTTTTTAATCTATGGTCCGACCAAAGTTCCCCCCAAAATATAAACACAACATGTAAAGTGTTGGTCCCATGTTTCATGAGCCTAAAGAAAATATACCAGAAATGTTCCATACGCACAAAAAGCTTATTTCTCTGAAATGCTGTGCACAAATTTGCTTACATCCCTGTTAGTTAGCATTCCTCTTTTGCCAAGATAATCCATCCACCTGACAGGTGTGGCATATCAAGAAGCTGATTCAACCATATGATCATTACACAGGTGCACCTTGTGCTGGGGACAATAAAAGGCCACACTAAAATGTGCAGTTTTGTCACACTACACAATGCCACCGGCGTGCTGGAGAAGTGTGCACTTCACAGATGAATCACGGTTTCAACCCCTTATCAGGCAGATGGTGTCGTGTGGGCGAGCGGTTTGATGATGTCAACGTTGTGAACAGAGTGCCACATGGTGGCGGTGGGGTTATGGTATGGGCAGGCATAAGCTACTGACAACCAACACAATTGCATTTTATCAATGGCAATTTGAATGCACAGAGATACCATGACGAGATACTGAGGCCCATTGTTGCGCCATTCATCCGCCGCCATCACCTAGTGTCAGCATGATAATGCACAGCCCCATGTCGCAATAATCTGTACACAATTCCTGGAAGCTGAAAATGTCCCAGTTCTTCTGCATACTCACCAGACATGTCACTCATTGAGCATTTTTGGGATGCTCCGGATCGACGTGTACGACGGCGTGTTCCAGTTCCCTCCCGAGTGGCACTGCATCTCAGTGCTTGAGGCGTCACTACAGACCCCCTGGTTCGATTCCAGGCTGTATCACAACCGGCCGTGATTGGGAGTCCCATAGGGCAGCGCACAATTGGCCCAGCGTCGTCCGGGTTTGGCCGGTGTAGGCTGTCATTGTAAATAAGAATTTGTTCCTAACTGACTTGCCTAGTTAAATAAAGGTGAAATCAAATAAAATATATCCAGCAACTTCGCAGAGCCATTGAAGAGGAGTGGGACAACATTCCACAGGCCACAATCAACAGCCTGATCAACTCTATGCGAAGGAGATGTGTTGCGCTGCATGAGGCAAATGATGGTCACACCAGATACTGACTAGTTTTCTGATCCACGCCCCTACTTTTTGTTTGTTTTAAGGTATCTGTGTCCAACAGATGCATATCTGTATTCCCAGTCATGTGAAATCCATAGATTAGGGTGTAATGTATTTATTTAAATTGTCTGATTTCCTTATTTGAACTGGAACTCAGTTCTCTTTCAGTTTTACACCATAAAGTACAACCAAACAGCAGAGCAAACATCAAAAAAACATTTTGTTCCGACCCCATTTGTTCAAGGTGGGTTCTGTAGATAAATGGTGGCGTATTGCACTTGCTGCTAGTTTCACTTTCAGTCTGTTAGTATGATATACAGTATAACTAGACAAAAAGGTTAATCTGAAAACCAGCTGCCTTGAGTAAACACTTTAAATCCAGCTGCCTCTTTACAGATTCCTTATTTTAATGTCCTAAGAACAGTTTTTATCCTCTGTCCTCAAGGTTTTGCCCTTGGAGCCACCATCCAGTCCAAAACTAAGGGCATCTGGATGTGGTGTGTGCCTCATCCTGAAAAAAGAGACCACACCCTGGTGCTGCTGGATACAGAGGGGCTGGGGGATGTGGAGAAGGTGGGAGGTCAAAGTTCACTCTCTGTCAAAAACCTTTTATGGCTCAGATTGTTTAGATGACAGATAGCATTGCTATGGGTAAAGTCCCATGTTATCTCAGTGGACTGTGTCTAGTACTGATGGCTGATGTCTTCGGCAGGTAGCTTAGTGGTTAAGAGCGTTGCGTTGCGTTGTGCCAGTAACCGAAAGGTCGCTGGTTTTAATCCCCGAGCCGACTAGGTGAAAAATGTGTCGATGTGCCCTTGAGCAAGGCACTTAACCCTAATTGCTCTGGATAAGAGCGTCTGCTAAATGACTAAAAATGTAAACTGTATATAATGTCTGACTTATAAATGAATGATATATACCCATTGATTCTGAAGAACATAACTTATATATGATGCCCCATGAGCTTAGTTCAACTGTCGTACCCCATCAGAACCCAACATATAAGCTTGTTTTACTTCAATGTTTGTAAATGTAAATAAACATCATTTTAAAAAATACTATTATGATATCATGGATGGTGAGTTATTGCATCCATAGCTCAGTCTATTAAGTTGAGTGGTTACATTTCTCCAAAACTGAGGCAGGTTGTAAGCTTTGTTAATGTTTCAATTAAGAATTCTAGCTTTGACCTTTATTTAGGTAGGGAGCCCATAAAACGGCATATGGAGTAGACATTTCGTTACTGACTTTATTCCAATCCACTCTAGTATGAACAGAGTACCAATGTGTTCCTTCTGTTGTGTCTGCAGGGTGATGAGAAGAATGACAACTGGATCTTTTCCCTGGCTGTCCTGCTCAGCAGTACTCTGGTGTACAACAGCCTGGGAACCATCGACAACAACGCCCTGGAGAAACTACAGTATCCTTCAGCAGGCCTATAAAGAAATATAGATTGATGTAGTCTAATTTGGTTCGAGGAACTCTATCGTACTCTTTGAACCAGACACCAGTTTACTGTGTAGTGTTGTATGTCTAGGTTCATTTCCTCCTCAACATCCGAGCGCTAATTGCTCAGCACTATACTGTATGTTAGTATATCTGGTTTCATTTAGTCCTCAACACCACCCTTTACAGCTATGTGACAGAACTGACAGAGCACATCAAGGTGAAGTCCAACCAGCGAGACGGGGAGGAATCTTCAGAGTACCTGCGTTACTTTCCTTCCTTTGTGTGGACAGTCAGAGATTTCACCCTGACCCTGGAGGTTGATGGAATACCCATCACAGCCAATGAGTACCTGGAGAACGCTCTTAAACTGAAAACAGGTGAAGGGAACACCAGCTAGCGCAGCTAACTTAATCTCTTAATCTAAACCATGGTTAGATTGAATTTACCAAGGTTGACAATGCCTTTATAAAAGACACGTTTGATATAAATAAATATTAAATGCATTTCTTCCACAAAAAATGTGATGGTTAATCATATTTTATTTGTTGATTGATGTACTTTTCCTTTAATTTACAAAGGTCATAGTAAGAAAGATCAGACATACAACCTGCCTCGTAGCTGCCTGCGGAACTATTTCTCTCCTCGCTGGTGCTTTGTGTTTGAGAGGCCAGCCAGCAGAGACAAAATGAGACGTATGGAGGAGCTGACCGATGCTGACCTGGAGCCCTCCTTTGTGGAGCAAGCCAAGGAGTTCTGTGACCATGTCTTCAAGGAGGCCAAGACCAAGACCCTGAAACAGGGCCTGAAAGTTACTGGCAGACGTGAGTATTAAAACACTGATATTGAGGATGGAAAGCACTTATGAAAGTAGGTAATGATTTTTAATAATCAAATCCAATTTTTTATTTGTCACACGCGGCAAATACAACAGGTGTAGACCTTACAGTGAAATTCTTACAAGCCCTTAACCAACAATGCAGTTTTAAGAAAAATAAGTGTTAAGTAAAAAATAAGAGCAGCAGTAAAATAAAATAACAGTAGGGAGGCTATACATTTACATTTACATTTTAGTCATTTAGCAGATGCTCTTATCCAGAGCGACTTACAGTTAATTAGTGCCTACATTATGTTTTTCATACTGGCCCCCCGTGGGAATCTAACCCACAACCCTGGTGTTGCAAACGCCATGCTCTACCAACTGAGCTACATCAGGGGGTACCGGTACAGTCAATGTGCGGGGGCACAGGTTAGTTGAGGTAATTGAGGTAATATGTACATGTGAGTAGAGTTAAATTGACTATGCATAGATATTAAACAGAGAGTAGCAGCAGCGTGAAAGGGGGTGGGGTGGGGGGACAATGCAAATAGTCCGGGTAGCCGTGATTAGCTGTTCAGGAGTCTTATGGCTTGGAGGTAGAAGCTGTTAAGAAGCCTTTTGGACCTAGACTTGGCGCTCCGGTACCGCTTGCCGTGCGGTAGCAGAGAGAACAGTCTATGACTAGGGTGTCTGGAGTCTTTGACAATTTTTAGGGCCTTCCTCTGACACCACCTGGTATAGAGGTCCTGGATGGCAGGAAGCTTGACCCCAGTGATGTACTGGGCTGTACGCACTACCCTCTGTAGTGCCTTGCGGTCGGAGGCCGAGCAGTTGCCGTACCAAGCAGTGATGCAACCAGTCAGGATGCTCTCAATGGTGCAGCTGTAGAACTTTTTGAGGATCTGAGGACCCATGCCAAATCTTTTCAGTCTCCTGAGGGGGAATAGGCTTTGTCGTGCCCTCTTCACGGCTGTCTTGGTGTGTTTGGACCATGATAGTTTGTTGGTGATGTGGACACGAAGCAACTTGAAGCTCTCAACCTGTTCCACAACCTCTCCCTCAACGTGCTCAGTCCTCTTTTTTTTCTTCCTGTAGTCCACAATCATCTCCTTTGTCTTGATCATGTTGAGGGAGAGGTTGTTATATTGGCACCACACAGCCAGGATAACAACTACACTAATATAACTACACTACTGCTGCTAGTATAACCATTTCCTCTATTTTTACTACTACTACTACTACTACTACTACTACTACAACCACCATGACCAGTACAACTACCAACACCATTAGTACTTAAATTACTACTAATTCTAATACTTACATTACATCTATACAAGGACCACTACAGCACTACCACCATTAGTACCACAACTACCAGATATGCTGATTCCCTGCCCCCTCCTGCAGTGCTGGGGAACCTGGCAGAGACTTATGTGTCTGCCATCCGGAGTGGGCAGATCCCCTGCCTGGACAACGCTGTGTTGGCGCTGGCCCAGATTGAGAACTCCAGTGCCATCGAGAGGGCCAGGGCCCACTACCAGAAAGGCATGGCTGACTGGGTGGCCTACCCCACAGAGACCCAAGAGGAGCTGTCTGAAGTGCATGCTGTCATGGAGAAGGAGGCTGTGGCCATATTCATCAACAGCTCCTTTAAAGACGAGGACCAGAAGTACCAGTTGGAGCTCATGGTATGGGAGTGTAGATTCTATATTCAATGAGTCAATTCAATTCAATGAGTCAAGTCAATTCAGTGATGCATGTATTTAACAAGAGGAGGATAATTTGTCATTTGGGTGAGCTATCCCTTCATGCTACACTTACATGTACATTTTAGTCATTCAGCAGACGCACTTATCCAGAGCGACTTACAGAAGCAATTAGGGTTAAGTGCCTTGCTCAAGGGCACATCGACAGATTTCTCACCGTTTATTACCTCAACTGAACCAAGACATTCTGGTTTGTTCTGGTACATTCTGAACCAGCCTTATCCTTTCTGTAGAAAGTGCTTCAGGAGGAGTACGAGAAGATCTGTGAGAGGAACTACAAGGAGTCCCAGAAGGCATGCAAGTCCAAAATTGAATGCATCTTTGCCCCTCTGGAGGAGCAAATAAGGGATGGCTCCTACATGACCTCTGGAGGATACAAAAAGTACTGCAATGATCTGAAACTGGCCACCAGCGAATACAGATCTGAGGGAGGCAGGGGAGTGAAGGTATGTTGGGGAGGTGATGCTTCAGCTATTTTAGGACAGTATGCAATTATCATGTTTTGTGGATGCTGTTCAAAGGAGGTATGAATGCACTGATGTGATGTTGAAAGTTAAACATTATGTGTGGTGGTTCCAGGCTGAAGAGGTACTGAAGGAGTACTTGGAAAGGAAGGCCAGCATTGGTCAGGCCATCCTGTCAGCAGACCAGTCCCTCAGTGAAGCTGAGCAGAGAGCAGAAGGTGATATACAGTCACCATGAAAATGCACACCATGACCTGGCAACAACATTCTAATGACCACCAAATGGAGGCTTACCTCTCGCTCTCTTTGATATTTCTCTCTCTCTCTCTCACACACATACTCTGTCTATCTTTCTCTGCAGCGGAGAAAGCGAAAAGGGAAGCATCTGAACGGGAGAATCGCGCCATGGAAGAGCAGCTGGAAGTCCAGGAGAAGTTGAGAGTGGACCAGCAGAGGACATATGAGGAGAATGTGAACCAGCTGATGGAGAGGATGAAGAGAGACAGTAGAAATGCCATAGCAGAGCATGATAGAGTTCTGCAGGCCAGACTCAGGGTAGGAATAAAAAAAACACAAACATTGAAAAGTACACTTTAAAACTACAGTAACTGTAGGGGTAAGATTAAATGTGTATATTTGTTTTGTTTTAGTGACACTGTCTGTGATGTGTAAAAACAAACCTTGTAATTTCAGGAGCAGAACGACCTTCTCCAGCAAGGGTTTGATGACCGAGCACACCAAATGCAAAGAGAGATAGATGCCCTTAAGGGTGCGAAGGCAGAAGAGGAACAGAAAACCCCCTCATTTATGAGCACAGCTCTGGATACTGTTGGGACTGCAGCTACCTTGTTCCTTCCAGGAATAATTCCCAAAGTAGGAGGAATGGCTGTGAAATGGTTGTCAAAGTGGTTCTGATGTTGGTGCTCGAGGAGGATGATGAGCTGTTATTCTTATAGACATGTGGATTGACTGAATTGGTATTTATTGATAGTTGATTCATTGATTTAGGTTAAGCACTCAGTCAAGGTTTTTCATTTTCATAAATAATTTGCATGCCTAATCATGACGAAGTAAAGCTTTTAGAAAGCACGCTTAAAAATGGTTTTGCACAGGCTCAGTTTCGCATATCATTGGTGTTGTGTGATGATGTTTTCATCTGATTGTCAAACAAATCACTTCAAAATGTAGGCTACCTGCGCATTTCACTCCACCATGATAATGTATTTCGCTGATACTCCGTACTGGACCATATAGTCTACTGGCTACTTTCACTCCTAATTTAGATGAGTTTCTGCTTATAATCTTTGACATTTGGTAGGCCATATTATAATTTCTGAGATTTGGTAGGCCATTTGTTTGTGAACTATAGTTAGATACATGCAGCTTCTGGTCTGTCATACCTTTTTGCCCCAGAAGACCAAATAAAGTAGTGCTCACCAGAATAATGTCTTAATCGATAGAATGAATGCATTATGAATGTATTTAACACCGGTATAGTTGTCTGTTTTGTTTAGGGACCGGGGAGAAAACGCAATAACTCCAAAACAGTGGAAAGATTGGTCCTGTGCAAAATGTCCAAATGTCATCAGTTTGAGAAAATGATAAAACATGTTTCCGATAAGACTTTACTTCGTCTTCGATTGCATATTTAATGTATTTGAAATGCTGTCTGGTTTCCTAAGTGTCATAACAGCGCATTCACATTTTCTCAAGAGATGCTGAAAGAAATATTTCTCCACATCCTGTTCCCAAGACAAAATGTACATTTGTATTATTATACTGCAAGAAATTGATAATTCTGCATGAGTTAATATTATATTACGCTACATGAGCAGTTATAGGCCTGCAGTCAGTGTCCATATTTCAGTTACTATTTCATTTATCCCAAATGAATTTAAATGAGAAATATTATTTTTATTCATGGGCACAGGGATACTTGGGAGCTGGATATCAAAGGTGCATGTAAACAGCTTATCCCGAATAAGACCATAAGCGAGATATGAGCTAGTATCCGGAATACTGTGCCTATGTAAACATGTGCGGTGCCTATATTATCTATTGAGTGCCTTTGTTATTGCACCAGACGTGCTAGGTTTTAGTACGTTGGGATGTTTGTAATTACCCTTGGCTTTATTTTTGTACCTGTGAGGGAACATTTTGTTGTCTGAAGAGATAGCATTGAATTGTACTCAGCATCTCCCTCACTCAATCTTGGTTCGTGAAGGTGACTGTGACCTCCTCCTCAGACCAATTGACAGTATGCCCAGAACATTGTTCTGGGATCCAAAAGGAGTATCTCAGTTTCAAGGTCTCAGCTTGGAGAGAAGACTTCTCGTCAGTCACATGCAGGAACCAACGTTGATAATGAATAATGTAAATCATGCTTATATGACTTGTGTGGCAGTATATAAGGACTGAGAGGGAATGCCCTTTTCAGAGTTTTTATCAAGCTTGATTTTAGTTTGAACCTCTCCAACCGTGATAATAAAAATGGATTAATTGAGTATGAGTCCTTAGTGGTGAATTTCCACGACAATTTACCCATTTAAAAACACTCTTCTGTTCACAGTTTGACTTAATTGACATCATTATTGAACTGAATAAATGAACTGAAGAAAGTACTTTGTTCATTTAAAATCAGCTAAACCCCATAAAATGAGTCCACACACAAAAATAGTTGACATGTATCTTTATGTACCTCCAAAATATTCTGCGGTTCAAAATGGTTGTAATCACACTATAGCCAGTTGTACCTTTTGAACATGGGCCCTTGTTAAACCCTGATGAAGACCTTTGTTGAAATGCGGTAAACTGTATACACTGCTGAATCTGAGTAAAACATGATTTCTTCGTCCAACAACCTAAACCAGGTGCCTAGAGCACATTCTAAAATGGAAGGTCCAATGTCAAATAACATTTCTGAGGTAAACTCTTGCTCAACATTACGCTGTGGTCTGAGTGCCAGTATGTGCTCTATTGGTACTGACATGTACAGTGCCTTCAGAAAGGATTCATACCCTTTGACTTTTTCCACATTTTGTTACGTTACAGCCTTATTCTGAAATTGATTAAATATTTTTTTCCCTCATCAATCTACACACAGTACCCCATAATGACAAAGCAAAAACTGGTTGTTAGACATTTTTGCTAATTTATTAAAAATAAACTGATATAAAATTTACATAAGTATTCAGGCCCTTTTACTCAGTACTTTGTTGAAGCACCTTTGGCAGCGATTACATCATCAATGATCTCTCTGTACTTTGCTCCATTCATCTTTGCCTCGATACTGACTAGTCTCCCAGTCCCTGCCGCTGAAAACATCTCATGGATGGTCAATGGAAACAGGATGCACCTGAGCTCAATTTCGAGTCTCATAGCAGAGTCTGAATACCTATGTAAATAAGGTATTTCAGTTTTTTATTTTTAATAAAACCTGTTTTCGCTTTGTCATTATGGGGTATTTTGTGTAGATTGCTGAAGATTTGTATTTATTTAATCAATTTTAGAATAAGGCTGTAACGTAACAAAATATGGAAAAAGTCAAGGGTTCTGAATACTTTCCGAAGTCTCTGTATGTAGTATGCAACATACAAGCTAACGGAATATCCTTTCTAGCAGAATATGAGAGGAAATAGTATCTTGTTAAAAGTAACGGAGCATCAGATGACCCCAAACATTACCCTTTGGAATGTACTGTGTGGATACACTTTGATCTTTGCAATAGCAATCAATCAATCTGTCACGATCGTCAGGGAGAGAAGTAGACCAATGCGCAGCGTGATGAACGAACATGACTTTAATTAGTTAAAGCACAAAACAATAAACGACTCGTGAAGTCCACGGTGACAATGACCGAACACGGAACAAGAACCCACAAACACAAAAGGAAAACAGACAGTATAAATATGGCTCCCAATCAGAGACAACCAGCCAACAGCTGACACTCGTTGCCTCTGATTGGGAGTCACTCAGGCCAACATAGAAATACACAACCTAGAACCCCCAACATAGAAATAGAACACATAGAATGAACACACCCTGGCTCAACATATAGAGTCCCAGAGCCAGGGTGTGACAGTACCCCCCCCCTAAAGGCGCGGACTGCGACCGCGCCTCAATAAGAGCAAAACAGGGGAGGGCTGGGTGGGCATACCTCCTCGGCGGCGGTTCTGGCTCCGGCCTTGCCCACCACCCTCCAATAATCCCCCCATAGCGCCCCTGGTCCGGTCTGGCCCCGCTGGCTGGAGCTGACCTGAACGTAGCAGGAACGGCTAGCTTCAGCTCCGTTGTGGAGCAGTTGAGCGGTACCTGATTTGGCACCGATGACCCAGGCACGGGTTTGTGCCGGACTGACGACGCGCACCCCTGGCTTGGTGCGTGAGGCAGGAACGGACCGGACCGGGCTGACGATGCGCACCCCTGGCTTGGTGCGTGGGAGCAGCAACGGGCCGGACCGGGCTGACGATACGCACCCCTGGCTTGGTGCGTTGGAGCCGGAACGGGCCTCACCGGACTGAACGACTCGCACCCCTGGCTTGGTGCGAGTAGCAGGAACGGGCTGGACCAGGCTGACGACTCGCACCCCTGGCTTGGTGCGAGTGGCAGGAACAGGCCGGGCCGGGCTGGCGACGCGCACCGTAGACTTGGTGCGTGGAGCAGGGACAGGCCGGGCTGGGCTGGCGACGCACCCCGTAGGCTTGGTGCGTGGAGCAGGGACAGGCCGGGCTGGGCTGGAGACGCACCCCGTAGCTTGGTGCGTGGAGCAGGGACAGGCCGGCTGGGCTGGCGACGCACACCGTAGGCTTGGTGCGTGGAGCAGGGACAGGCCGGACTGGGCTGGCGACGCACACCGTAGGCTTGGTGCGTGGAGCAGGGACAGGCCGGACTGGGCTGGCGACGCACACCGTAGGCTTGGTGCGTGGAGCAGGGACAGGCCGGACTGGGCTGGCGACGCACACCGTAGGCTTGGTGCGTGGAGCAGGGACAGGCCGAACCGGGCTGTGGAGACGGATAGGAGACCTGGAGTGAAGAGCGGCCACAACCCGTCCCGGCTGAATGCCTACCCTCACACACTTTGTGTGAGGCATCCGCACAGGACGTACAGGGCTGTGTACCCGTACTGGCATAACAGCACGTGACACTGGAGCAGGATATCCGGGACCGCGGAGAGGCATTGGAGACCACGAGCGTTGAGCCGGCACACTCCGTCCTGGCTGCATACCCCCCTTCGCACGACACGTGCGGGGTGCTCGCACAGGACGTACAGGACTATGCCGGCCCACTCGTGGTACAGTACGCCGCTCCGCATACCGCGGAACCCTGCCCCGTTCCATGCTGCCATGCCTGAGTACGGGAAGTTGGTTCCGCTCTCCATCCAGGCTCCGCCAACCTGCCTTCTGGCCCCCTTAACCCGGTGGCCTCCTCTCCAAATCGCCCTGTGGCAGCCTCCTGCTGCCCAGCCGCCCATGCCGTGTGCCCCCCCCTAAAAATGTTTTGGGGTTGCCTCTCGTCCGTCCGACGATGGCACTGCTGACGCCGCTGCTCCTCTCTCGCCAGGGCCTTAATCCTAGCCCAAGGTCCCTTGCCCCCGAGCATGTCCTCCCAGGACCACGATTTGCCCACCTGGGCCATCGCCAGCCTCTCCATCTCCTTTCCTGGCGCTTCCTCCCATGTCCAGTCTGCCTCTTCCTGGACACGCTGCTTGGTCCTTTTATGGTGGGTTCTTCTGTCACGATCGTCAGGGAGAGAAGTAGACCAATGCGCAGCGTGATGAACGAACATGACTTTAATTTGTTAAAGCACAAAACAATAAACGACTCGTGAAGTCCACGGTGACAATGACCGAACACGGAACAAGAACCCACAAACACAAAAGGAAAACAGACAGTATAAATATGGCTCCCAATCAGAGACAACCAGCCAACAGCTGACACTCGTTGCCTCTGATTGGGAGTCACTCAGGCCAACATAGAAATACACAACCTAGAACCCCCAACATAGAAATAGAACACATAGAATGAACACACCCTGGCTCAACATATAGAGTCCCAGAGCCAGGG